ATCAATTGCAAAAAAAGAGAAATAGCTTTCATTCTTTAAAGATTATTTATTTATTCATGTATTTTACCCATAAGCCTCGTTTATTTATACTTAACTGCTTTATTTTGTTCATGTTTTTTGTTGCGACTTCAGCTTAGCATGACCTAGCTGAAGTGAGAATCAGAGTAGATACTTGAGAATACACACTGTGTATGGAAACCTTGTGGTCGCATCTAGATATAAATACCCTCTTTCCATTTATGGAGCAGTGTTTAAAGCGGATATATGGGAATTGATACCACCTCACATATCCGATTGAATGACCAATAATATTTTTGTTTCGGTCATCATTTTCTCAGATAACTGACATTTCCTAGTTCATTACAACTAATTAACTCCATTCATGTAAACTCAACACGAGTCATTTACTTAAAGCATCATATTACTGAACATATGCACGTTTCGATGTTTAATTATGTCCCAAGATACAGTTCATCGCAGTTTCCAAAATAATTTAACTGGTTAACACTTTATAATAAGATTCAGTTTGTTTGTTAATGCATTATGTATTATGAACTAACAATGAACACTACTTTTTACATTTATTAATCAAGGTTAATGTAATTTATAAGTGTATAGATAGATTATAAATTATATAAATAATAATTACTTATTTGATCATATATCATGTTTAGAGTTTACTAAAACTGATAGTTCAACATCTTGTTTGCCTTGAGATGAATAGAATTAGCATTTAGATTTTTCTCTGCCCCAGTGACCCTCACTAGGTTCAGATGGATAGAAGTTTTCTAAAATACTACCAAAGCTTGAATTTATGAGTTTCAATTTGCTGTGATCCAAACCTTTCAGCACATTGTGAACCAGAAATCCCTTGGAGAACGCAAAGGTCATAAATATTCATGGTGAGTAAATATACACAGGATTTAACAATGCAAATTGTGGAACTAGCATTCCACTAATGAATTGTTTGATGCCTTTAATAACATGAACCAAAATAAAGGGCACTCTGTTTATTCGGATACGTGTTTGGGACAACACTATGCCACTCTTAGCAACGCTTGTGAAAAACCCCTGTTAGCATTCGCCGAATACCCAGCATGCCACAGGTGCTTGATGAGTCTGTTTCTATTTTGTTACTTTGCTAAAATAACTTTTGGTGCACTTCTAACCAATGCACATTCAAGCACCTAAAGTGGACAGTTAGTGTAGTACCGATTGATAGGTGGAAGCCAGCCAGCACAGTACTAGCTATAAATGTACACTTTGTCAGATTAAGTTAAATGTATGTACAGTTGTTCTGATCCTACCAGTCAGTTTTCTGACATAAAAAGAATAAAAAACCTACTGATCTAGGGCTATAAAACAACACTTTCTGAAAAGCAATTTACCAAAAAATGTTTAGAAACCCCACAGCTCCACACAGAAAACGTGAACCATATGCATATAGCCACTAGACTACATAAAAACATAATTTGTTTAGAAACAAAGTCACATTAGTCATTATTGACAGTACCATTCGCAGGTCCAGTATTGTTATCTTAGTTGAACATCACCCAGCCTTAAATCTGACTTATAGCCGTGTTAACATATGGCTGTATCCAGCTGTACACAGCAGTTGTGACCATGCATCACTGTCTCAGGATAGATAGATTACAGACGAACGCCGCTACCAGCGTTCAACCTTTCACCTTTTCCGCCATAGTATAGGTCAAGCATGCTAACAGACAACACGCTACTATGTACTATGTCAATACACTCATGGTTGGGCACAGGAAGGGTGCCTCTACATGTCCCTCAATAAAGTGAAAATATTGTCAACAAATATGTCAACAGCCACATGCTAATCAATCAGCACTTGCATATAAATTGTGTCACTTTAAAGCAAAGCAGGCAACCTTTAGTGCCTTTAGGACATCTTTTATAATTGGGTTCCTGAGGGAATGGCAGGATGTTCTGTGCTTTGTGTTATTATATTAATACTTTATATAGACAGTTCATCTGAGAAGAGTGATATAATACTGTTAGGAACAGCTTTCTGAAATAAAAATGGATGTTTCATCCAAACTTTTCTTGGGTTAGTTCAGGGCAGGTTCAGTGGACCAAGCCCTCAAAGTCATGGTAGTTATGCTATTCAGCTTTGCCAGCATCAGCCAAAACTTTCTCTGCCTCAGAATAACTCTTTCCCAGAAAGGACGGCAACGTTTTCACATTGCTTTCGCACATTGCAGCATCCCAATCATCCACCGTTGTAAATATACACACTGTATAAATAGAGGATCCTAGGATAATTTACTCCTCTGGATCAAGCACAGGGTGAGCTGAGAGAGGGGTGACTTTTTGCCTGGCCTGCCCAGTGGCACCGTTCCTCTTGCGCTGCTGTCACGTCAGCATTCTTGCGATACCTTTCCTCAGTCTCCTCCCTTTCTCCCAATCACACACCACTGACCTCATTACAGTTCATAATCACTTTTCCAAATGATTTCAGTTATTTAAAAGGCCGTTACCTACAACAGCAAAATAACCAAAATCCACAATGACACTGACCAAGCAAATAAATATAGTAAACAATAGGACAAAAATAATAACTCAAAATTAATTTTATTATGTACTGAAAGCACATTTTCTCTTTCTCCTGCTCTCTCTCCTTTACAAGCGCGCACATGTACAGTATGGGCACATGCTTGCACAGAAATGTGTTGTCAGCATTGCTTTGATGATTTTAGCAGTAAAATAATCTAGCAACTTAAAAGCTACATTATATTTGTCACTAGCAAGGTAATAACAGCACTGTTTTTGAAGCAAATAAACTTACTGTTTCGCTACTAGTCTCTCTCTGCATTAATAACTGTGTTAGTCTGCTATCAACGGCTCAAACCTCCTTGTCTAAAATTACATTTTGGAATTAGCAATGGAAGTGTGGGATGAGATGCGTAAGAAATTAGCCCTACACACATGGTTATTTTAAAACCTGACAAATGTCTTGAAATACAACATATGAACAATGTCTTGAGGTGTGGTAACTGTAGTATAAGCAGAATAATTGACTCCGATCTGTTGAATTATTAGATAAAAATAATACACACCCGAGGTGGTAATGCGGCCACAATGCAAAGAACCATTGTCAATTATTCCTTATTTATTTAATATTAAAAATATAATATCAGCACAATCTATGACACTTCTTGTATTTTAATAGCATTCTTGGCTTCCTGTTTTTTTCTTTTATGTTCTATTCATGATTTTGATTCAAATACTGGGACGGTCTCTCTAAGATGCTAGGTATTATCCGCAAGGCAGCATAGATGCCCTCACTATACATCACCTACTACTTCCTCACATTCCTCTTCCTCTTGTTTTTTATAAACATGTCAGTTCAAGGACTACTGATGTTCAGGTGTTTGATTTTCTGAAGTGACAACTAATTCCTGTCTTTTATCACACAGCACACATGGTTTGAGATGTTTCAGTGTGCACCTGGACATTTGCAACAGGAGGCAATATAAAAAGTTTAGTACATAATAGAAAATGTAAAATTAAGACACTTTGTCAGAGACAACACATTTTAGATGAGTAAGACATTTTATTATAATTTATTGTAATATCGTTGAGTATGAAATTGTTTCAACTGTCATGAAATAGCTGATGGTCTCTAATCTGGTATCAAAGTTTGTAGGAGGAGGCAACTCATAAATGCAATCTTAACTACTTCAAACCAGAAATAAAACTTTTATTGCAGGCTTGTTATGGAACCATCTATGCTGGCATCTGCTTGGTTACTTAAAGCAGTTTCTAATACAGTTCTAATACAGTAAACTTGCTTTATTACAGACAGAACATACACCTGACAAACTGCTTTTGTGGTTACTGTTGAACTGTAACTGCAGTAATAAGTAAAATGGGCAGCCAGAACATGCCTTGATATCATAAACTACAATTTGATATAGAAGATAAAGTATTTAACTTACAGTACATGCTTATTTAAAAACCAAGACTGTTTTTCAAGAAAGAGATTTATGTAAACTACAAGTAATATTAAATGACATGTATGATCAAGATCAATTTTTTATTGTATTAATTGACAATATGTTATTAGAAGGCAGAAGCAACTAATTATAAACCCATGTTGCACCCAACAGTAGGCTTATATCTTTCTTTAGACTGTGTAGTTTACAGCAGTTTAAGAAGACACATCTTAATACAAATTAATAAAACTAGCCTTTAACCCAAACCATAAAGTCCAATGGACATTTACAACAATGAAAGCATTACATAGAGAAAGAAAGAAAAAATAGAAAATTAGAATTCCAAAAAAATTACAGTGATCAAAGTTGTATTATGCGAATGTATACATTTGACAGTTAACAGTTATAGGCATTAAAACATATATATAATGTACATACAACAGAGGAACTGTGAGCTCTATAGCATTTCCTTTACAGAATTTCCTTTACATACAGATCCATTTTAATTAAAAATGTACAAATGTCACTTTTGCCATAAACGTCAACACTCAACAAATGTATATATTGATATATATGCTCTGTCAATGGGCGGGAATACAAGAAACATATAATCAATCTGTAGTTTTATTAAAAAGCCTGGAGCTGTCAAAGTGACATGTTTTGCATCATTCTGTTATTTTCCAAGCATCCTTTTGCTTGGAAAATAAATTGTGATATCTGGGTGCAATAACATGGAAAAAGTACACATTGTTAATTTACATATACAGCCAACAACAATACAAAGCTGGTTGAACATTTACAAAATTATCCTTTTAAGGTTAGATTCGATTTTCATAAATTAGGTTTAAAATAGTTACAATATTAAAATCTAACATATTATGCTAATTGTAATACAACGTAGGAACAAAAATCTGCAGAAAAACAGAAACTCCATTAAGTTTCTCCATTCAGTTGTACTCCATTAAATTTATGCATATTTCCTTTAACCATAAAACAACACAATGCATTTTAAAATATGAGTGAAACACTAGTGAGAATTTATACAGAACATTTCTTTACATTAACACAATATACTGGGCCCTGTTTTTACAGACTTTTCTTAGTGCTGTATGTATATTCAAACAACGTTGTTCTAACAGTGACTCACATAGTTTACAATTTATTTCAGCTGTTACTTCCAGTTTAAAATAACCCATCAGTCAGGTTCAGAGATCTGTAAAACAGAGAGTTGATATTGTTTTTAATTATAGTAATTTTTCACATTTATGCATCAGCATACAACATTGGAACAAAAGGAAAATAGGCTCCAAAATGCAAAAAAATGCTAAAATCCACTTGACTTTTTTCCCATGAGCTGTAAAGCCAGCTAATAACCTCCTACATGTATTTAGCCTTTGACATGACCACTTACCTCAAGCTAAAACATCTGTTTGACAAAAGAAGAGCACTTAAAATGTATTTATGTTATTTGTGAAAAAGCATGACATGCTGATATACAGTAAATGCATATAATGCATATACTAATATAAAGGCAGAGAATTTTTATATTTCATAACAAATGTGTGAGACATTTATGGACATGCTCACATTCATTGAAAACTGATCAGCTTCATGTTTTGTTTAACCAGTAGGCTTGTTCACACAATGGCGTGCAGTGACATCTGTATTAAAATTTACAAATGGCCACTCAATTATCAGCAGGAAAGCTGCTTGCTATCCAATTTAACAAATACTTTCTTTGCAGGCTTACACAAATCCACGAGTGGACCATACACATCAGAATAGACTCGTTAGGCTGAGCTGGGGTACATAGTAAACTGAGCCTGAGATAACAATCTCCCAACCCCCCTTAAATAGAGAGAGGAAAGCAGGTAGACTGGACATTCCTTTAAGGATTTATCAAGACAAAACCAGAGGACTAATCTAAGAGCTCCAATCTGTTAAACTGAAGTGGAACCTCTAATTATATCAGTTGTTAGGGCAGGCTTGTAGAGCCAGTTTAAATTTCCATCTCAATACCTTTTTGTCCCTTTCCACTCTAGATTTAAGCTTAAGATACTCAACTAAACTTTAAATGTAACATGTGACATGCACACTGTAAAAAAAAATCCATAAAATTTATGGTAAAAAAACGGCAGCTGTGGTTGCCAGAATTTTACCGTAAAAAATATGATAGGTTTTAACTTAAATTTATAGTTAAATACCGTAATTTCATTAACTGATATAATGTTAATATACCAAACTATTGAAGTACTGAAATCTGTTTTGTACCTTTGTACTACACTGATAACCACCAAATGCAGGTGGTGATGAGAAAGTCACATGATGAACCAAAGCCCATCACAAGCAGCTTTTAAATAATAACATATATAGAAGGTGCACAGTGTCATTCACACAAACACCAAACACCATCATGGTAACACACATGAAACTGAAATAATGCAATAAACATTCATTTAACAACATTAGGTGTAACACACACAACCCTAATACACAAAACTGATAAGAAAAAACTAAGAAGAAACATAGTTATTTCAACAAAAAAACATCAAATTTGAAATGTAAGACGGGGAATTCTGGGAATGTCAATTTACGGTTATTCACTGTAAATCATACAGTTTTTCACCCTATATAGTAGTGGAATTTACCGTTAACCATTTAACAGGTTTTTACTGTAGCATTTTTAGTCTTTTACCGTTAAATTCACTGTCATTTTTTAAAGTGTAGAGTGTGAAGCAGTTGTTGCAGTTTCTTAATTGAGATACACATATCATTTGTAATTCAGTTGTAAGGTCACAAAAGCCACATTTTCATGGATTTTTATCTTTGGAATCCACGTTTGCAATAAAAGTAAATCATTTAGTTCTCATTTCTGCTTCCAGTGGATTCCAGACCTGAGGCTGAGGTTACACTTCAACTGTCTTTCTTACAACCTCATGTCTGGTTCCAGGTGTGAAAATTGTGATTTGTGTATCCCATAATCCAAGAAGGGCACATCCTGAAGGGATGGGTTTGTGAAAGTAGTGTTACCTCTTACACAAAACCTACCGCTTAGAGATTCAGTACTCAGTTTTATCTGCAAAAATAAAATCTCTTCTGACAGGCTAACAAGATCAACCGATAGTGAACATCAATCAAAAGCCTTTTCTCCAGTTACAAATACATTTTGTAACATGAACAATCGTAAATTGAGACTATTTTTCGTAATGTGACTTTCTATATCAGTGCGATTTTTATATTTTACAATTGCAACTTTGTCTTGCATAATTGCTACTTTATTTCTTGTTATTTCTACTTGTAACTGCAACTTTAACTTTTATTTAAAAATTACCTTTTTACTTTGAGTCGGGAATGGCTTACGTACTATTCCCTGACAGCGGATTCAGCTGAGCATAAATAACTAAGGATGCTTCTTCAAATGACTGAATAACAGGATCTTTAAATAAATGTTAAAAAGTTAACATGATGTAAGATTGTACTTCAAGCCCACCTCACTGCAGCATGCCAAAGCTGCCTTGTGAAGTCTTTCCTTTACTAGCAGTTAAAAGAGTCTGTGTTGGTGGAGGGCTGTCCTGTCAATCCCACTCTAAGGAATGTGGCTGTGATGCCCAGGGCAGATACGGGCAGGTGAAGGTATCTATCTTTCAGCAGTGGCCTGATCACAGCCAGGCCTGTGAAGCCGCTGCTCTAGGACACTAGAATAGAAAGCTGGAAGAGAGAGAATGTGCTATCGGATGCCCTTCCTGTGAATTCTGTCTTTTCAGAGACCCATCAGTCAAACATTTGCCTGAAACTGTGTGTGTGGAAGGTCAGCTATGTTTATTTATTTATTTTAAATAGGACAAGATGTCACAGATTATAATAAAATTGTTGTTTATTAGTTTTTTTTATTGTATATCACAAACCAATATATGTTCAAAAGTAAATTATCTTTTGATTCAAACTACCCACCTTCTGGTTGGATGCTCTCATGTTCTGGTCTCCATAGAAATACATGTTAAAATGGGAGTATAAAGGTCAACTGAATTTATTAAACTGAATTTTTTTTTAATATAACAAAGTATAAAAATGTGTGTCACAGGTACAGTGCTCTAAGGAGACAAGTGCACGACACAGGAGTAACCCAGCACACAATCTTTAATTCCAATTTAAACTCAAGAGAATGACCAGGAGACATAAATAACAAGCATCTAAGAACCAACTAAACATGACGGTGAACAGACAAAGAAGCAGTGGAAAGGCATTGCTATTTATAGTAAACCAAACGATCGACTAATAAGATGATTAATGAACACAGGTGGAAACTAATGAATGATGATTAACTAAATGAGAACAGGAATAGAACCAAATAAGGGCAGACAGGAACTAAACAGAAACAAACACGTGACAGTGTGAAGGCATAAGTTGTACGTTAATTTGACTAGAAACACCAGATACCGGAAATGTAATCTTTCTGTTATGAGGCGGATGAGACTTCCACATTCAGGAAAAAGGTGGATAGAGAGAGTTTTCATTTTTGGGGTGAACTATTACTTTAATTAAAAAGGCCTATAAGATATTTTGAAGGTACCATTTATTATTATTTTTTAAATGATTTTTATTTTCAAATATTAACAATTAACCCCTTAACTGTCACCGTCCCACCTGTGGGACACTTGACGCTCTTTTTTTGTTGTTGTCTTTTTTCTCTATCAAATCTTTTAGTAATCATCATAAATCATATATCATTTGAAAGCTTAGAAGCCCAAGATTCATCCTGTGATGAATAATTAGTGGGCAGTGTCAAGTGTCATATTACAAAATGAATTACGGTCTTTTAGAATCAAAACTTTTTATAATCTTGACAAAAAAACATATCATTGGAAAGGTCTGAGTCTCAGGATTCCATATTTTGAGATAGAAGTAATATTGACAGAGAAATCTAGACATTTGTGACAGAAAAATGCATTAAAAAAATTCTATGGAGTTTGGATGGCTGTTTGTGGTATAACGCCCTAAATAATATCTCACAGGAACCTCAATTTTTTTCATATCAAATTTGGAACATAACTTATTTAGACATAAGGCTATAATTTTATACCAATTTTAGAGTAAAACCTGATATGTAAAATATTTATTATATATAAAATAAAATAAAAATTCATATAGTGCATTTTCTTTACAGTACATTTAAACTACTATAACTTTTTGATACTTAAATTATTTGACAAAAATCCACTTTTGCGATAATCTGCTGATTTTCTTCTTTAAAAAGACCAACCTTATGTCTGTATTCCAAAGTGTTCATAAATTACAACAATTTAAGTTTGGATAGTGCACCTGCATGCCTATTTAAAAAAATGGGGGGTGACAGTTAAGGGGAAATATTACTGTACCATCACCATACCATTTCACTGTAAAAAAAAAATTTTTTTTAAATAAAGTATTTCTGAAAAAAATAGAATAATAACATTTATGTGACTAATTATAATACTCATTTCATGCAGCACAAATATTTATTTATTTATGTAAATCACAGCCTTTGCAGGTTGGTAATCTCACTAAGTCATATCACGATTTCAATTTTATTTCAATTAATTTTGCAGCCCTATCACTGTTTCTGTCATTGTACTGTTTTGAATTGTGGAACACTGCAGTCCGTATCGACTTCAGTGAAACTACTGGAATGTTGTGTCTGAAAAATTGACCATGAGCTCATTGACAGTCTGCTCTCTAATTAGAATTGCTTGACCTTTGTCCGTTCATTAAGTTCCCACCAAAAAGACGAACCACATGTCAAGCAAATAAAGAAAACTTGTGTGAACAGGCATCCATTAAATGCTTGCACACTTATTATGTCTGTATACATTTCAGTAGTGTAAAAAGGTATATATATATATATATATATATATATATATATATATATGTACAGCTTGTGGCTGCAGCTTATCTGAAGAGACAGAGACACATTATGTAAACTCTGAAATTATAAAAATGCGTTCTCATCTTGAACAGAAGGAGAAGTGGTACTTATTCAAACATGAAAGGAGAAACAGGTTTCTTGCATTGCCGAGTTATTGTCAAATGTCAAATAGGTTATTTCAATAAGCTGATTTATATAGTTATCAGCATATTGGTGTGCATGCAAATGTGTTCAGTTAACTTCTCGGAAGTTGATTCTCGAATGCAACTGATAGAAAACAAGATGTGTGCTAATTGTCTTGATGATGGCAGTTAAGAATACATGGACCAACAATCACACTGATCATTTTACTTTAGGAATATTAAGAGTCCACATATGGAACTCAGATGCTGTGAAATATTCCTTTCTGGGCACTTCTGTTTGTCTAGACAAACAAGACCAGACTTTAGTGGTGGTCAAACTTGTGTCGGTTGTTCAGAGCAGCTGGGTGGTGTTTTTTATTGCATACAGTGTGTTAAAGAATTGCAGCCTTGTTCATGTTAGAAAAGATATCCTTCCTACCTTGTAAACCCAAACAATGTTTTCACCAGTGTGAACACACAATGAGGCAGTCTAGACTTCCAGAAAGGAAATTGACTTTTTTCTTTGTAAATATACATTAGAAAAACCAACAAACAAATAGCAGTATAAATTGTTCACCTGTTAGTTTCAGGGTTTTTTCCACAAAACTAGTAGTAGCAACGTAAACTACTACTATATAAAAAATAAAATTAAATCCAAGAATGAAAGAAAACGTATAAAGTTACACACAGAAGTTACAAGAAACTCACAGGAAGTTTGAAATATCCAGAATGTTTGCCATGAACTAATTATCACCCCACTTAAATGACTTCACTGCTTGTAAAGTCACCCAAGAAAATATATCCTCACTGAAAGTGGCCATCATTAAAAGTATGAGTAGCACAGGATGGATAAAAAAAGCCTAAGCTAAAGGACAGCTGGAGAAGGACAAAATATAGATGAACTTTGAGTCTGACAGCCACTGTATGACAACAACGCAGTAAGGGAAAACATTATGCTTTTTTCTTTTTTGCTTACATTTTTGTTAGGTTTGCAAACAGCCGTCAATCAAATGAAAGAGAGAAAAACAATATCAATGTAATTGATTTAAAAAAAAAAAAAGGTTGCATGGTCTTTGAACAGGTGGGTGAGAATGAGCTACAAGTTTTCTGCCTCACAACTGTTGAAGAATAGTCATTGGCTCGAGTCAGGGGCCTATTACATATCTTTTATCCCGTTCTGTAAAAATAGCTGCAATCAAGGAAGGTGTGAGGATTTGCAGGGAGATCTATAGGGACATTGATAGATGTTCACCACGTGAATCAAACGAAGGCTTGCTGGGTCACTGTGGTGGGATAGACCTACATGGGTGTGGTCTCAACAAAAAAAATCCTTTCATGACTTCTCACTGAGAGTGAATCGGAGAAGCTTTAGAAATATGAGAGGGGATAAAGTAGCTAAATATATGAACGCACACTCCCAACAACCTAAACCCAAATTCTCTAAGTCTTATTGCTTATTGGCCTTGACTGTTCAGCACTTTAATGTTTATGGCACATGTCATTGAGTGTCTTTTATAGCAAGATGCAGCAGTTTCTATAGAAACAGGTTTTGCACACATTTAAAATAATAGGTCACCCGAAAAAGAAGTCTGTTATCTTTTACTCACCCTCATGTGAGGTTAATTTCTCCTGAAGAACACAAAAGAAGATATTTTAAAAGTATTGTCAATCCTCATTGGTTCTTGTGTGTCATATGACTTGCCATCATGGCACAAGAACCAATGGGGTATGATGTTACTGATGGATCACCATTTTGATTTGGGCTTAATAAATGGTTTGATTTGAAAGTGAATAACTATTTGCATTTCACATGCTGAAATGCTGAAACCTTGAATCTTTAAAAGTTTTTAGGAGTGGCCTGCCCAATACCGTCTAATGACAAAGAAAATTGGTACAAGGGTGAGTAAATAGGGTGAACTATTCCTTATAAACTGTTTGAAGTGCGAAGAGGAAGTCTTTAAGAACATTATTTGCCACATTCACTTTGCAACACTTTTTCTCTTGCCACCAAATACAGTCATCAGTGTTTGTGTACATACAAACACTAACATCCTATTGCGTCGACGTGTGGTTAATCTTATAAATAAACCCATAATGTACCAATGGAACCATTGAAACATAACAAATAACTGTTACCACCATCAAAGATAACTAAACTTTACCAGTGACCTACTGCTGTATGCTTCTTCCGCCTAAAACAATTACCTCATTGATTCTTTCTGATATGGTGAAATGTTTATGTTGCAATTGCTAAGTAAAGTTACACATTACTTATAGGAAAAGCTTACACTGAAGTTAGCAGGTTTCAACTTAAACCAGAAGGCACCACCTGGGACAGCTCTGAGTTTCTCTCTTTCCCACTCATCCGAAGTTACACCTGGCCAGGTGAGACAATAACCACATCAAAGCGCTAGTAGTCAATAACTGCGTGTGTTCATGTGCAAACACATATTAGTTCCACACCAAAGCACAGTGTGTAATACTGTTCAGGCCTGGGCGAGTGTCAGATTCTTATTGCAAATCTAGCATTGACTTGGCTTCTTTGTCATTAGACGGTATTGGGCAGGCCACTCCTAAAAAACTTTTAAAGATTCAAGGTTTCAGCGTTTCAGATCTTTTTTGTTGTTGTTTTAATATGGAATTAATTAATGTCATGGACAGATACTAACCATTTGTCATTTCAATATTTAGTCATTAAAAATGAAAGTATTGCATTAGTGCTGTTAGAGCAGACAGAGCACCATTGGCCAACAATGTAAACGCCATTACTAAACTTCTGTAGACTATGTGTCCTGTCTATAAACTTGTAAATCCATGTATAGAGACCAACTGCTGTTTGTCTGATAAAATACTACTGTCTAGTTTTTGTTTCTCTCTGTTGAGTAGACTTAGCACCTTAAAGTGAATGTGTATAGGTGCAACTGAAGCATTTATGAGAGCCCTATCAACTCCCAAAACCTGGAAACGGAGCCCCTGACAATGACTGCAGAGCACATGAAAGCATACCCTTATTGGAAAATAATACCCTATATAATAGTCCCTGGGGCTCTAGCTAATTATACTGCTTTATGAGCAGTCATGGTCATTAGTTGTTATCTATGAGGGTGGGAGAACATGACCTCTTTCAAGTTCATGTCTCCAACCCGTCCTTCAGTTCCAAACCAGCTGGAATGAATGAGAGGTTTTCTCTCTGTTTCCTCCCTTTGATTCTTTAACTGTCTCTGTTTTTTGAATGAGTGGACTTTTCCTTAGTTTATGCTAATTATAGTTTGTCTGTGTGTAGTATTAGTATAAGTATTTTGGTAACATTTTAGTATAGGAACCAATTCTCACTATTAACTAGTTGCTTATTAGCATGCCTATTAGTAACATATTGGCTGTTTACTAGTACTTATAAAGAACATATTCTGCATGACCATATTCTACATCCCTAATCCTTACTAACTATTAATAAGTAGTAAATTAAGAGTTTATTGAGGCAAAAGTAATAGTTAATGGTTTGTTAATAGTGAGAATTGGACCTTAAAATAAAGTGTGACCATTATGTAAGATGTGCTATGTCTGTAATAATAACCTATACATGTGGGTCTTAAAAAGTTTGAGAAAATGGTATTTTTAGACAAATATAATTTTTTTTATTACATATTGCATTAAAAAAGGTAGACCATTTTCAAAATGTCGTAGTATGTAGCCTATTTATTTTATTTTTATTTATTTCTGGAAGCACACTATATACGTGTGGAATGACTCCTGTAATATACGTTCCCTGGAGCATTCCATTGTCCATACCGTGGGGCATCAAGTACTGAAATGCTGATGAAGGTCTCTCATCAGCTGTTAACAGACAAACCAATTTCACTGGGAGCTGCAAACAGAAATAAAGCTTTAACCTGCTGGGGCACAGGTGTGCAGAAAACACCCTGACAGAGAGAATTAAAGCTGTGGTATATCTCTCAAGTGTCTGATGACATGAGACCTGGAGCGGCATCTGTGGATATGACGTGATGAGAGATGGAATGCTCTCTACCACATATCCGCATGAGTAAAAATTTAAATTTACTTGGACTGACCAATGTGAATCATGATATGAATGTGTGATGTATGCCCTATAGTGTTGCTTTTAGTTACAATAATCATCAAAAATATACTCTTTTTCCCCCCTTTGCTTGAGTACATCTCTAATGGAGCACAGCACAGTATGTACAGAATGTATCTGCATGGACTGCTGGAAAACACTTACCATTGTAAAATGCTGGGAAGAACCTGATCTATTTTAGAAGTAAAGCGTCAATAGAGATTTCAGTGAAATCATACCCATTGCCCTTGACTGAAACAAAAAGAAGAAATGGTGAATAGAGAGAGAATAGAGAGAGATAGTATTAAAGTCTAACTATGTTCTCTCAGTCTCACTAACCTTCAACTCTTGTATTGTTGCTGTTGTTTTCATTGAGAACATCATCTAGGGATTCCATTGAGGTTTTAGTGGAGATTGTCCGTTCTCCATCAGTCAGATCCACTACAGTCAGCCCCTCTATTTTATCCTTTGGGTTCTCTGTGGCCTGAGTGCTGGATAAATTCTGTTGGTTTTCTTGTTTAACATCAGCTGATTCTGTAGGGAATAAGTTTAAGAATTTGTTTTTGGCTGTGGTTATTATAATGGATCACACTAAGAAGTGTAACATAGTAAAAATCATAGAACGTAATTTTTACATTATATAAAAGACAATAAAAATATTCTATAATTGTAAAGAATATAGTCACACATACAAGAGCATGAAGTTCAGTTCAGATAAAAAGCAAAAAAAGTTCATATTTCTGTTTACAACAAAATTAAAATGGCACCAACACCAAAACAAAAGTTCATCAAACTAAATGAAAACCAAAATTCACTGTATAATAGCTACTGTTAATCGACAAACAAATTTACTCTGAATTAAACACTCTTCAAATATTTAAACTTTTCCCTGACAAGTCTAACTACTCTTAAAAACACAATTGCACACAAAACACCTGGGTGTCTAGCCTCAGTGGTCTCAAACCTGATGATATCTCATGCTTCCTATTATTTTCAGTGTAGTAAATCTTAAAAATGAGCAGTGGGAGAAACCGAATGTGTCTTGTGATGTCTTGTGATGGGAAAGTCAGCACTTACAGGATAAAGAGGCATCGTAAAACCATTAGCCGCTATGTCATTGCAATGCACACTTCTGTTTTATTTTTTCCTCCATGGTCATTTTCTTTCCCTCTCTCATTGTTACTCACTCTCTCCCACCATGTGGTTGATTTAGACCTGGAAGCGATTGCCGTAAGTAAAGCCGCTGAAGCCAGGAAACTGATTGAGACCCATTAGTTCCTAAAGAGGAATCTGCGGAGCTTGTCAATGACAAGCAGCAGATTTTGGTGGGAAAAAGAGCCATCCTGTGTGATTATAGGGAGCATGAAGAGAAACTAAGATCATAGGAAGTAATTCTGTGCAGTTAAGCCATTGCACCACTTGCTGTAGGCAAACAACCCCACTATTCCCTTTTGTTAGTCACGTTTGTTACTTTTACTTTGTCATCTTGTCTAACATTTAACAAGGTGTTCACAGCCTAATCCATAAACACAAGTACATTTGATGCTGTAACTGGCCTCAAATGAGTCAATTAGATTTATTAATATAGGGACCTGTTCATTGTATGGGCAAAATACATAAATAAATCATCTTTTGTGTTCTGTAGCAGAAGAAATGGTAACACTTTAGTATAGGGATCAATAGCTATTAATAACATATTGGTTGTTTATTAGTACTTATAAAGCACATATTCTGCATGACCATATTCTACATCCCTAATCCTACCCAATATCTAAACTTAACAACTACCTTACTAACCATTAATAAGAAGCAAACTGGGAGTTCCCCTTCAGGAACTCGAGCTGCGTCGAAGTCGCTTTGGGAACGCCCCTGCGTGACCGCGTTCTGAAGCACGTCAAATCAGTCCAATGGAGTAGCGAGACGTCACGAGCAGGGTGACGTAAGCACCAGAAAGTATAAAAGTGCATCCGGCAGAGCGCAAACCAGCTTCTGCTCTTCAGTAGCGCTCTGTGTATGTGTTTGTCTATTTACTGTTGTATGTCCGCATATATAAAAAACAATCATGAAAATGTCTATGGCGAGTGAACGGCATTACAAACGTTGTGTTCCTCCCTGCCCACGATATCTGGCGGCGGGGGATACACATGATTTGTGTGTCGTTTGTTTGGGAGCGGAGCATGCACAGTCAGCTTTCGAGGAGCTGATTGTCATGACTGCGAGCTGCTCTCGCTCCGCTCTCGCCTGGTCGTGTTTGATGAGAGCGGCCAGGCTCGCGATCCCGCTGGCAGCTGGCATGGGGATCGCGGGTGGATTTAGCGGAGGGATCCGAGACGGGCTCATTCTTTTCTCGGTCCTCACCCGCTAGATCCGCAGCTCTCTCTCAGTGTTCTCTCTCAGTGTCCCGACGAGCGAAATTCCCAGCTGCCGCCCGGCAACGGTACGGCATGGGAGAGCTCGCCCCCTCAAGTGAGGGTCCTACAGCAGTCAGGTCGGTCGTTCCCTGCCGGTCATCCGCTTCAGGGCACCGAAGAAACGTTGGTTCCTGGTTCAAGGCCCGATGTTATGGGCTTCTTGTCGTCGCGTAACGCTAATGACGGATGCCTTTCTCACGGGCTGGGGAGCGGTCATGAGTGGCCGCTCTGCCCAGGGTCTGTGGGAAGGCCATCATCTCTTTTGGCACATCAACTGCCTGGAAATGCTGGCCGTGTTTCGAGCTCTGACACACTTTCTTCCAGACCTAAGGGGGCATCATGTGCTTGTTCGCAGATAACACATCGGTGGTCTCCTACATCAATCGGCAGGGGGGTCTGCGTTCGCGCCCCTTGTACAAGCTGGTGCGCCAGATCCTTCTGTGGGCTCAGGGGAAGCTCCTCTCTCTAAGAGCAGTTTACATCCCTGGGTATCTAAATCAGGGGGCAGATATCCTGTCGAGACAGGGGCTGAGGCCCGGGGGATGGAGGCTCCACCCCGAGGTGGTGGAGCTCATTTGGAGGGAATTTGAATGCCATGGTGCAGACGTGGCCGAGGATTCGTCTGTACGCTTTTCCCCCGATCGCTCTGCTCCCGGGAGTTCTGGCGAGGGTACCATAGTACTTCAGGCATTCTGTCCTCCTCCATTTCAGGAAGTAGGCCAAGAAAGGCTTAATCTGCTCTGTCCAGTTCAAACACTGGACGCTTACGCACACAGAGCTGCCCCGTGGCATAAAGCAGATCAGCTATTTGTTTGTTTTGGTCCGCCAAAGAAAGGATTTCCGGCGACCAAGCAGACCATGAGTAGGTGGGTGGTCGAGGCCATCTTACTAGCCTACGAGTCCTCTGGCCTCCTGTCACCTATGAGGGTCAGAGCGCACTCGACCAGGAGTATGGTGGCCTCCAAGGCTTTCAACTTGGGTGTGGCCTTGCAGGACATTTGTGCTGCGGCGGGCTGGTCCTCTCCGCACACTTTTGTCCGTTTTTACAACCTAGACCTGGCATCTACCCCAGGTTCCCAAGTTCTCTCTTCGTGATGTGCTCGCAAGATACACACACAGGCAGGGACTTGGTAATATGGCGCAGTGGGTATTCTCGTTCCCAAAGCGACTTCGACGCAGCTCGAGTTCCTGAAGGGGAACGTCTCTAGGTTACGTATGTAACCATGGTTCCCCGAGGGAACGAGACGCTGCGTCTCTTTGCCATACTCCCTGCATTCCTCCAGGCGCTACTTCATCGAAGCTGGTTTGCGCTCTGCCGGATGTGCTTTTATACTTTCTGGTGCTTACGTCACCCCGCTCGTGACGTCTCTCTACTCGGTCGCGCAGGGGCGACTTCGATGCAACGTCTCGTTCCCTCGGGGAACCATGGTTACATACGTAACCTAGAGACGTTTATTGAGATAACTTTGTAGTTAATGGTTTATTAATGGCGAGAAATGGACCTTAGAATAAAGTGTGCCCGAAGAAATCATGCTTGAGATGACATGAGGATGAAGAAATTATTATTATTATTAAATTATAAAAAGAGCATTATTCAATGTATTCCTATCCTATGACCAAGAAATATGAAAGTGACATTAATAAAGGTCAGAAGCACTTTTGAGAAATTCATGCAATATCAAGTGAATGTTCTTGTTGATAAAATATTTTTTTTAAATCACAGTCTCAGTTTGATTCTGTCGGTGAGAGTGTGAATAAATAATCTATTTTTTTGCACTGCTAAAAAACGACAATGTTGTTAATAAGGGAACTTCTGAAGTTCCTCAAACTGCTAGACTTTAGGCAAATAGTGTAATATTCTGTTGCAAAAGTTGTGAGGGTGAAAAATGTAAGCTGTCACTATTTCCAGTGAACTGCAGTCACCCAATGTATTCCTATCCTATGACCAAGAAATATGAAAGTGACATTAATAAAGGTCAGAAGCACTTTTGAGAAATTCATGCAATATCAAGTGAATGTTCTTGTTGATAAAATATTTTTTTTAAATCACAGTCTCAGTTTGATTCTGTCGGTGAGAGTGTGAATAAATAATCTATTTTTTTGCACTGCTAAAAAACGACAATGTTGTTAATAAGGGAACTTCTGAAGTTCCTCAAACTGCTAGACTTTAGGCAAATAGTGTAATATTCTGTTGCAAAAGTTGTGAGGGTTTTTCACTATTCAGTTTTCCGTAGCATTTGCATTGTTGATATTATCCCAAATAAATAAAAAACGCTATGAGTTCACAACTCTGAGCAGTGTTTCTTAAAAATAAATAAAGAAACCTCTATCTGCAAACCCAGACAGCCAAAGGCATCTTTATTTCTGTTATGGGTCTTCCAGATGGAAAGGATCAAACACAAAGACCAGATGCCTCTGGTCAAAAGTGGCTATTTCCTAAATGCTGTAGGCATTGAAACATTGAAGCATGTTCATGCAGGCTCAGTTCAGATAATGGTTTGTGGTAGACAGCAAGAATATCAGCACAAGGTAAATGCTTTGTTCAGAAGTAAACATCTTTTTTTTCCAGTATTGTCAGTATCGAAGCTGAAGTTGAAAATTCTTGGATATTGCACTTCTTGAATCTTGGAGTTTCCATAAACCGAGTTTACTGAAGAAACTGGATCAGCCCTAAATTTGAGAATACCACTGATTTTTTTAAATATTTTTTAAAATATTTTTTGTTAGCACTGTTTTATCATTGTTGTAAAATGTAGGATTCTTTACTGAGAGACTGGCAGCTACATACTCTTGTCTTAGAAGTCCACCCAGTGGAGCTCTCTGTTATTGCAACTAGTTCAACAGCAGGGTTCTAAAGAGACTTTTGGATCATAGACAAATAATTTTTGCTCTAGTCGAAAACGTATTACACTTATAGTACAGTAGAGTTTAATACAGTGGTTTAGGAACTTTTAGAACTGTTTCAAAGTTTAGGGCCGGTATATTATTTTCTTTAGAAATATAACTGACCCCAAACTTTTGAAAGATAGTATTTATTTTATTTTATTTTATTTTATTTATCCATTTTTAATAACAGCTACCCATATTAACTTTTGTATTGGGTTCAGAAACGGCAGCTTTCTCACAAACACACACACACACAGTTGTTTCATACGGTTGCTTCTTGTGCTCCTTAGTTCTTTATATGTCTTCATACATTTACGAAAATTTGTTAAAATTAACTTAGACTATAATGCATTTCTCAAGATGAAGTGACTGTCATAGAGTATTTAACACTAACACTAACTTTTAACTCCTCTAACACTAGCTTGCCTTATTCTTTTTCTGTTCTATCTGTTTTCTTTTTATTTATTATATAATTAATAAAAAAAAACCTTGCTACATGTACTGCGTTAAGCGAACAGATACTTGTTATAGCACTTGCATATCATTGCTCTTTTGTTGATTTTGATTGCTTCCATTGTCCTCATTTGTAAGTCGCTTTAGATAAAAGCGTCTGCTAAATGACTAAATGTAAATGTAGAGTATTTGAAAGAAATCAGCTGCTTGTCGCATACCTTTCCCTTCCTCAGGCTTCTCAGATTCTTTCACAGGCGCAGGCTTGGTGGACTCGACAGGAGTGAATGTTTGCATATCTTTGGGAACAAGTGTAGAACACAAGGTTAGTGTAAGCAGAGAAGAATTAAGAATGAGTTAAGAATGCCAGGTACCTTTGACTGATGTGGTGTCAAACACCTCTACATCCACTGTGCTGAGTGGGATCTGAGCATCTTCTTGTTTGGGATGTAATTCCACAGAGTACTTCTGCATTAGACAAACATTATCATTATCTAGTATGTAGTTTATATATCCATTGTAATGATTACAAAATATCAAATTCACAATCAGTAATAATTTATTAAAAATGTCTTACCCTGGATTTCTTTTTAAGGCAACAATAAACTACTATCCCAGAGAGGCACAGAACAGCAATGATAAAGATAATTATATAAGCTGTTGAGAGTAAAAATAAACAGTAAGAATAATTAAGAACATACATCTTTGATCACACTTTATTTTAAGGTCCAGTTCTCACTATTAACAAACCATTAACTATGACTTTTGCCTCAAAAAACTCTTAATTTGCTGCTTATTAATAGTTAGTAAGGTAGTTGTTAAGTTTAGGTATTAGGGATGTATAATATGTTTGTGCACAATATGTGCTTTATAAGTACTAGTAAACAGCTAAAAGGTTAATAATAGACATGCTAATAAACAACTAGTTAATAGTGAGAATTGGTCCCTATACTAAAATGTTACCACATGTTTTTATCTGTCAATTCAAAATAAATAGGAAAACTGAAATAAAAAAAACATGAATAAACACTGACAATAAGGAAAAAATCACTCACTTGGCCAGGGGTTTTGGATAGGTTGCGTTGCTTGAGTTACTGTGAAAAAAATTATTATGCATAGACATAAATGCATTGCACAAAGAAAATAATTACATTTTAGGTGAATAGCAAAATTATGCTCTAATTTACTTTTTTCATAAAGTGATTTTTAGGTGGTTAATAGAAATAATTTATTTTGGCATCTGGTGACAGTTTTAAGAGTGTGCTACTGAAGGTACACACTTCCTTCCTGTGTGAGAATGACTCAGTCTTTATGATTAAAGTTAAAAGTTAAAACAATTCTCTTATTGCTCTTTTGTGCAAAATCAAATGTGTTCATTTTTATGATGAAAGGCACAATCAGTGATCATTATGCTTGCACAGTATTGTTTCTCTTACTGGTTTCTTTGCTAGTAGTTGTGCTTTTGATCATATTATTTGTGCTTGATTGTGAAACGGTCTTCAGAGAATCGTCTGTGGTGTAAATGTTGGTCTGCGGATGTTCTGAGGGCGGTGGAGTAGGTGATTCTGTTGGCCAAAAAGGAAAATAAATCACCAGATGTAACGTTCTTTGATTGGAACAAGCAGCATAGCATATAAACTGGCTTACGGTTTTCCTACCAATTGTACCATTTTGCTGCATAAAGTGTGTGGATGCTTGAATAACAAATGATCAAGCAAAATGAAAAAGCTACCTGATTCTCCATCTGATGTGATATTCACAACCGTCGTGTTTGGCAGGGTGACAGTGAAGCTTGGAGTGGTAAAGTTGTCTAGAAAGTCCATTTCTTTGAATTGGGTGGTGTTGTGAATAAACACTGAATCTGGAGCTGTGGTATTTTCTATGCTGGTTATCATGGTTGTGGCCTCATTTTCAACAGCAAAGACAAGTAAGGCAGCTGAATTGTACAAGAATAAAGGTCAGGTCAGGTCGTGAGGAACATGTTGTTATTACAATCTACAAATTACTACATCTGTAAATTATAACTACATCTACAAAAACGGCTGAATGATCAATGGAAAGCATTTTCCTCAACAAATGTACAGTGGAACATAGACAATTAGTTTGAAGACTGATTTAAATCTTAATTCCGCTCTTTGTTGTTGTTTTAATTGTGCTCTGCAGTTATGCAAATTTTAAACAACAACAACAATAAAAATAAATCTTTAAACATACCAATGAGGAGATGAATTGATGCGCAGCACATCTTTAGAGAAGATACGCTCTAGTCAAATGTGTGTTCCTTCCTAAGGACAGCGAGTGCTCAGTTTATAACCGCACAACTTCCACTTCTATGACCACCACAGGATGCAGCAGTTAGTTACCCAAAAAAGGCACATAAGGAACTCGTGCACTTTTGTAAATCCCCGTTTACAGCATTTGCATAATACAACGAATTAAAATAAACCGGTTGTGTACGCTTTTTGTTTGCATCAAAGGAAAAAAGGGAAATACAGATGTATAGGAACATATGTGGTGCATTTTGGTTAAGTGATTACATTTACAATCACAATTAATTTTGCTTTATAAGTTATACGTTTATAAGAGTAGTTTTTCATACATTCTCAGAAAAAAGGGAACGAAGCTGTCACTGGGATGGTACACTGTAAAAAATAAGTGTAATTTTAACTGTTTTAATTTTGATTTTGTAAAAACGCTACGGAAAAAAACTGTTCATAGGTTAACAGTAAGTTCCCGTACTATATACAGGGAAAAACAGTAAAATATCTAACCAGACATTTCATGTAATTTTACAGTAAAATGCTGTTAATTTTACAGTTTTTAGAAGTAAAAATAACAGATCAATGTATAATTTACAGTCAAAAACTGTAAACTGATATTCCCAGAATTCCCTGCATGACACTCCACATTTGAAAGTATTTTGTTTAAATAATCATGTTTTTTTAAAGTTTTTGTTATTAGTTATGTATATTTGGGCTTTATGTTGCATCTTCTGTTGTTTAATGAACGTTTAATGCATTATTTAAGTATCATGTGTGTTACCATGATGGTGTTTTGTGTTTGCATGAATGACTCTGTGCACCTTCTATATATTAGTATATACTTCTGCTTGTGGCGAAGCTGCTTGTGATGAGCTTTGATTCTTCATGTGGCTTTCTCTTTTACCACCTCCGTTATTATGGTGGTTGTCAGTATGTTAAAGGTACAAAACAGATTTTAATAGCAGTGTGCATTGTTAAATTTACTGGTTTACATTCAAATTTTCTTGTTTGTAAATTACAGTTTTATACTGTAAAAGTTTTTGGCCGTAAATGTGTTTACAGTTTTTCTGTATTTTTTACAAAATTATTCTGGCAACCACAGCTGCCAAAATTATTGTGTAAAACTACAAACATTTTTTTTACAGTGTAGCTTTTTTTAAAATGTACACTTTGTGCCTTATTTAACCCTTTAAGGGTGAATATTGGTAGCTCAAACATACATAATAGTACACAAATGATACAGAATTATTAGCCCCCTTGGTAAATATGAGCAAAGAAGGCTGGGGAAATAATTCTGCACTGTTTATACTTTTGATCTTCCATTCATTCATTGGCCATGATAATTAGCACCCCTACAAATTCTTATATATAAAAAAATCTACAAAGTATAATTCGATTCATATTTACATTTTTAGCACACCAGGGTGACTACAAATATGAAGTTGTCCAGTCATGATTTCCTCTTTCACAAAAGTATAGATATGAGGTAACACGAAGGCCAAATTCCCTTAACCGTACATCAAAATAAGTAAAACCAAAGAACATAGTTGTGATGTGCAACAGAAGATTGTTGAGCTTCACAAAATAGAAGGTGGCTGTAAGAAAATAGCTGAATAAAAAAAGAGCTTTTTGGCATTCACTAAATGGGTTTAAAGGGATACACAGGGATTAAAAAAAGGACCCCATGCCCACGGTTAAATATACTGCTGGATCGTTAATGTTGTGGGCCTATTTTTCTGCCGGAGGCCCCGGATACATGTTCAGGTACATGGCATCATGGATTTGCATAATGAACCAAGGTTGGATCTTCTATCAGGACAATGATCCAAAAACAAACATCAGAATCAACACAAAAATGGGTCAGTGAGCACAAAATGAAGGTTTCACCATGGCCATCACTGTCCCCTGACCTGAACCCTAGAAAATGAGTGGAATGACATATTAGTGGGGGTATATTAGTACCTTTTGAATAGGTACTGCCCCATAGACTGCTTTTGTACCTTTATTTCTGAGAGTGTATAGGGTAACAGCACTTACATTTCACTATGATACTTTTCCTTTTCTGGGGAATAGTTTAAAATATTTCATAATTTCACAAAATGCTGAACAAATGAATGAAATGTGGAACAATGACCTTTAGAAATATCACTGAAAGACAAAGACAGTGACAGTATTTCTGCAGCAGCAGGATACTCATTAGATGCAGGTTCAGTTACTGGCACTTACCTGGCTGATAGTAAATCCAGCTGTAAAACCACATACAGACACAAGGTGGCACTGTAGGTATGAGAAAGCAGAAGTGTGTTACAAGAATTCCCTTTAGTAACACAATTAATTAATAATTGTTGTAATAATAAGTGGTGTTGTGATGTAGATATTATCTCTTATCAAACACCTTTATATTAAAATATACACACATTTCTTAAAAAAACATTATATGTACTTTTACTATATATTTTCCTTGTTTTTATGTAAAATTATATATTTTAATATTTATTTATTTTCTAAATATTGTATATTGTGGCATAAAATGATCTTAATTACAAATGAAATGCTTGTAGTTTGTATGTATCATTTCACTAGAATGATTGTAAATTAGAGTTTCAAAAGTATGTATTCATTTTTTTAAATGTGTGTGTGTGTTTGTGTGCGTGTGTGTGTGTGTGTGTGTGTGTGTGTGTGTGTGTGTGTTAAACATTAAATGCATTCAGTTTATCAAAAGTGACAGTAAAGACATAATTTTGACTTCTCAGAAACATTTAAATACATTTAAAAAAGATTTTAAAAAATCGCACTGACTCTGACACTGTATGGAGTTTAATGGAAGAAATAACAGTGCTATTTGGGGAGTGTTGTAATGAATATACAACAAGTGTCAGATTTGGTAATAAATGAGTGTGTTGTCTCCGTTGTGGGGACCAAA